TGCTTGATCACCTTCCTAGGCTTCGAGGGAGAAACACCATCCTTTCCAGGCAGGACAATGGTCTCAGCATCCGAGTTCTGGTCGGGCCCTACATCGTCATCTGGCGCAGCTGACAAGGTCGATGCCGACCGTGAGTCCTTAGTTAGGAAAGCCAATTTAGGGTTTAGCGGAGATTTGATGTTATTGGTGGTTGTGGTGGTCGGCGGTTTGGGATCGTCAGGCTCTGTATGTCTCCGCCTTGGAGAAGCAGCCTGCTTCGTGTTTGAGGACTCGACAGCATTCTGCGCATCCATAGCATTCAATTCATATACCAGGGTCTCATACAGTACACCATGATGGCCACTCGTGGGTGACTAGTTGACAAGGGAGGGTCGCGTTGGAGAAGGGGAAAAAATAAAAATAAAAAAGAAGTATGTGTATATTGTATATGGTAAAAATCAAGGTACCCTATAGTGGGACAGGCAAAGAGAAGTCGGTCGCAGGTTTGGGACAGGACAGGTCAAGTTAGGGATGGAACGTGTATGAGAATGGATGAATGGACAGATAGGTTGATGGATTTAGATGGGTAGGTTAGAAAGTAAATGGATGTGGATGGATGGATAGAATGGGTAGATGGATGGATGATTCAACCTGAATTGGAGCTAGCACTAGGTAGGTAGGAGCCGGAGGAAAAGAAGAAAAAAAGAAAAAAAATAGTGCTACTACTTTTTGCTCAACAAAGGTATTGTATGGTTCAATTAAAAAGGGGGGGGTTGTAGAAGAGAGAGAGAGAGGGTGTAAAAAAAAAAAACAAGGTAAGATACCAATATACTCAGTCAACAGTAAACACAAGTTGATTAAGCTCTGATCTGTTCCCTGTCTGGGTTTTTCTTTTTCTTTTTGGTCTTTCTTTCTCTTTTCCTATCCTCTTTTTAGTCAAGAAATTAATTCTTGCACGGCACAGGATTTGAAGGTTGTTAGGTTTTAGTTTGCATAGAACGGGAAATAGGTAAGTGAGGTAAAGAGGTAGGGTAGGTAAGGTGGTAAGGTAAGGTACTTCCAGTATGTAGCAGCTAGGACAAGAAAACAGACAAGTGAAAAAAAAAACCAGAGGAAAAAAAAAAAAAAAAAAAAAGAACAAGCAAAAAGGCAAGTAAGAATTAGCACAAACGGGGTGTGTGTGTGTGCGTGTGTGAAGACTTGCCTCTTGCCTGACATGTCCTGGCCTGGTCTAAACATGGACTAAGGTCTGGTAGTATGGATCTACTAGGCCATTAATGGACTAGCGTCTCCATGTAGCTAGAGGTGGTGCGGCCTAGGTGCTCTACCAGTATGGGTACTTATGCATTGCAATGGGTGCAAGCCAGTGCAACCCAGTCAGTTGTGTGGTGACACGGGCTGACTGCACTGGTAGGACCTCCAAGCACCTCTCTTTTGAAGATCCACTAATTTTCGAGATCAGACACTAGTGATCCTCACCTTTGATTGGTTGTATTATGTTAGGAGGTGGCCGGTCTTGGCCGGTATAGCCGTAAAATGTGCACTTTTTTGCCCCCTCAAGTTAACCAAGTCCTGCAGGTAGTCCCCGCCCCTCATCTCCTAACTCGCCAGTTGGTTGCCTAAGAGGTTTTTTTTTTTTTTTGTCGTCTTCTTCTTATCCCTTCCCTCCTTCGCCTCTCTTTACCATTCTTCTTTTATTTATTTTTTGTTACCGTCTTGCCTTGCAGGATGTCAGGAAGAGAGAAAAAGGAAAGAAAAACAAGAAGAAAAAACCCCCCCATGAAAGTTCCCCTCTCGTAGGAAGTAATATATTATTATTCATGTTGTTTGTCTACTTTTCCCACACAAATACTCCGTGTGGTTTATTACTTGTTACTGGGTTCAGTTGGAAGCTACAGATTAAGTATTGACCATATATCTATGTACATAGCAACCTACATATGTACATCCACCAAGTACCCTTTTTTTCCCTCCCTTTTTTTTCAGGGTTCTTCTGATAGCTCCTTCTTCTTTTTTCCTTGTACAACTACATAATACATACAGTACTTAAGTACGTACCCTCACGAAGTCAGCATTCGATCTGCCACTCATCCCATCCCATCCCATCCATCCATCCCATATCCCCCACTCCCCATCCACCATTTTTTCTCTCCCTCCATTTCCCTCTCATCCTACTGATAAGCCTGTGCAGATCGTTCGTTCTACATACATTATTCATTCCATCATACATCATACATCTCCCACCCTATCGTATTTGCTTCCAACCCTACCAAGTTCCGAAACTATCGATACGTGTACATCTATTTTTATTACTATTCTTTTTCTCTTTTTCCTTTTATTTTTACTTTTTCTGCACCTAAATTTCCCTTCCCCCCTAATCTATCTCCTCATGTGAATTTCTTACTTGTTTCTTTCTGTCCAGATTAAAACCGACCCAATTGCAGCGCCTCCACCAGCAACAATTTGCGAAAGGCTAAAGCACCTCTATAGAGAGGGGGAACCGTGCTCTTCCCCTTCCACTCCTTTGACCTGTCGATCTTTGTCTCCTATCTAACACTTCATTTCTCCTCAAGTCTGGTTATAGATCTGTGCCCCGAAGAAAAAAATAAGGAAAAGAAAAAAAGATTATAAGAATAGCCTTCGAGACGAAATCAATCTATTTATGGCTTCTAACGCTAACCCTTCACTACCCGACTCGCTCGACCAAGCACGAATTACCGTCCTACCAGCAACCGCCTTCTACATCTCCGACTTCATTACTGAAGATGAAGAGGCATCCATACTTGATAAGATAGCTTCAGCACCGAAGCCTCGGTGGAAGCAGCTTACACATCGACGACTACAGACCTGGCCATCTGACCTCGTGAACAATAAGTTGATTGATGCCCCATTGCCCGCTTGGCTCGAAGAACCCATCGTGTCCCGCCTCAAGACCCTCCGTCTTACACAAGATTCGGACCTAGTCAACGTCTTCCACGACAGCCCTCACCAGAGGCCAAACCATGTGTTAATTAATGAATATCCCCCTGGCGTAGGAATAATGCCCCACAAGGTATGAATACCGGCGGGTTTGTATAGCAAGGTGAGGGGCTCATCTTGCAATAGGACGGCGCGGCCTATCACCCCGTTGTTTGCACCGTAAGTCTAGGGGCAAGCCTTTGTCTCAATATCCACAAAACCAAGGAGGATGGGGCCTTGGAAGCCGAACCAACTTGGAGAATTCTACAGGAACCTAGGAGCCTCCTCATCACCACTGCCGACCTCTATACACATTTCCTTCATGGCATCGCCGATGTCACTGAGGACGTTGAACTCTCTGAGAATACGATTGCCAATTGGACACTCCTTCGATCGAGCACCGATTTCCAAGATGGACGGAATGTGCGCCAAATCCGTACTAGCTTAACATATCGAGATGTGATGAGTGTGTCGAGACTTGGGAACAAACTAGGCACATTTTTCAAGAGGTGACATAGGCCTTGATGCGTCCATCTCAAAACACGCCAGGTATCATCTTCCATTTTCCATGGACTTTTTCTTGCCCAAATTTGTCGCAATACCATCGCTTGGTCCCATTTGCGGTAACACCGAGGTTGATTGAGACAAACAGCACAGCGCACAGTAGCGTCTTGTTGTACAGTTGACCTTTAGGAGCTGCTGTTATTGCCAATGAAAGGTACAGCAGGCATTCACAGGTGTAATGTGGACAGACCAGGTATTGAAATAAACCATCCTCCGGAAGCGAATACTTCTTCAGACCGGACAAGTGCTTGTGGCATCTGTACTGCATGAGCCACGAAAACAGAAACATGGGAACACCAATGGCCAGATTCAATGACAATGTCTCGGTGCTAAATAACGTTGGTTTTGAGGACCAGGCCGACTCTATACAGAGGTTAATATGAGGTAAGATGCATAGGTGACGTGGTGACCTACGGGATCCTTCAATCCAAATAGCTATGCTTGTACATAGGTAAAATGAGTTACCTAGGAGCCAGTGAATGACCCACATTCTGGAAGACGAAGGCCGTAGGACAACCAAATATTCATACAAGCGTCTGGCACCTTGAAGACACATAAAGAACCATACGAGGAGTACCTGTTCGATGGTCATAGAGGCAGACGTATGCGAAGCTTGGTGCTCAGCAAGGAAGGCAAAAATTGTTCCACGGCGAACATATTGGACAGCCCAGAAAATTGAGCATGATAAGGATAGAACATAGAAATGAATGAACCATGAATGAGGCACCTTGCCCACAGAGGTGAGCCATCTGACGAGGTTGATGAGAAACCCCTTTTCCGTGCCGTTCCTTGCGGACCTATCTTGTAGAGCGGATGACGACCCTGATGCTGATGCTTCACTCGAACCTCGCGCACCGTATTGTGTAAGCAACTGTTGAGCCGTGGCGGGAGCAGCCGCGACAGCCAGCACGGCCGCGGCACCGAGCACATAGTAAAGCTGGCATAGCTCCGCCGGGCTCAGATCGGCCACGTAGGTGACTAACGAGTTTACCGCTGCGACTGACATACTGCCAGGTAGGTGGAGAGGAACCAAGGACAAGCCTCGGGCAAAATTCTTCCAGTTGTTAGTTAAATTAAGTGACAGACCCTTACCTCCCCAGTAAATATTACTTTCGTAGCTACGTACCTCCTGAGAAGCTGGTTGACCGACTGACGGGTTGAAAGGTAGCACGTGGCTCGTCCTCGCCTCGGTCTCTCGCACTAAAGGAAAGCAAAAGCTTTCCAGCGCCTAGACCCTACCTGGAAAAAAAAAGGAAAAAAAAGGGGGGGGACGGGGTATGCTTTTACGGTACTATGCTATCAATGCAATATATGTTTATTGAGTATACATGATCGATAGGTTAAATACTTAAGTGCATAACAAATTCACAACTCAGATAAAATACATTAATTAAAAGTGAGGCTTAGAAGAGGAGCGGCAAAAAAAGAAAAAAAAAAAGAAAAAAAAAGGTAAGAAAAAATTGAGGCTCTCACTGTATCCAGTGAGGCATCGGGAATTGAGCCCGATGCGGGGGTCGAACCCGCAACCTTGAGATTACTTAAGTAAGAGTCTCACGCTCTACCGATTGAGCTAACCGGGCGGGCGCCATGTTGGGGTTCCATGGTTGGAAACACCAGGCCGCTATGATGATATTTTAATGAATCCTTAGCGAATTATTTTTTTTTAAAAAAAAGTTCAATTTCTTTTATAGTCAAATTAAATATGTGTATGTGATCAATGACATGCTCAGTCAAGAGAGGAGGAACTTGTGCAGTCGGTCACGTTCAATGGTAGCTTGCCTGCCTTACCTTGCGACTTCTTGAGACTTACGATATATCAGTGGACGACCACTACTTCAAGAAGGAACAGATGATTTACTCTTCGGGCCTGAATAAAAAACTTTGCCTAGTTACAATAATCGTCTTTCCAATTAGATGTTCCATATAGAGACTTTAACTATTATCTTTTTTATCCCTTATTCCTCTTTATCCACTTCCCCTTTCTCCCTTTTCCCATCTCCTTGACGCTAAAGGAGGCTGTAATATCATCCCTATTCACATTAATACACATATCCGCGCGAACTAGGCGGAAGAAAGTCACGTATATATTAATTGTAGTTTTAAACAGCATCGGACCTTTTTCCATCATCAAATTGAAATATAGTGTTCGTCATGCTCCGCATTCTTGTGTAGATCTTTAGTCATTTCAAGGGTTATCCTCAGTATCTATGAGTCATGGGAGTTAAGACCCAGGCACATGGAAGACTTCTTAGAATCATGACCTATGTGCTCGAAACAGCCTATAGCTTTAGTGTCTATTCCGAGGTCAATATCAAAACAAAGTATAGAAAAGAGCATTCAAATACTTAAAGTCCTAAGCTGAGCACTTGTTCTAGCTTAGGTAGTGCCTCAAATCACTCGATCCTCGTCATTGAAATGGCAATGCCTATAAAATAGAACAATAGCACGAAACTACCTTAAGTATTAGTAAATGACGAAACCAGCTCCCCAACACGATTTAGCTTTATTGTTCTGTTGTCATATTTATGCGTATGATTCTAATTGAAGTAACATACTAACATACTACCCTCCAAGGAGGGCAGTACCGCCTCGCATAGTAACCACAACATCATTAACCTCATAGTAATAATCCAAATATTCAGTTGCTTTGACCAAGGAATCAGTTTTTTACATGCTCAAGCCTAGTGTCATGACAGCAATCAGTAGTATTATGCCTCAATTCATTAAGACACATTTATAGTTCAGCATATGGAAGACTGGACAAGTCAAAGCAGAAGAACAGCAGTATAGCAGGAATATTGAGGAGTATTTTTCAAACGTGAGCCTAAGGAACAAGTCCAGAACGAACCATGCGGCTATCATATATAGCATCGAGTTGTGTTCAAGGATACTCCGTGGTTATATGTGCTTGTTGAATATACCACTTGACTAATACGAAACACCGCTTTCCAAATCCACGTTTCTTGTCACTGAACTAGAGTGTCAAGCTCAGGGCTAGCTAGGCTTCAGTATCCATCTACCCTTAGATATGGCCTATTGACCTTCACTTCGGGAGACCTAGAAATCATAATATCATGCTATATCCATTGATATATTGTTTGGATAGTCTCACCCCATATCACTTGTGGCTAGGTTTCTTAGGCTAGGCAAGCAACGATATGAATGTTACAAGCATATTTCAAACCTCGAATACCCACCATGCCTTTCTCTACGATCCAGCCTTCTTGACCTTTAATGTGTGTAGACGACATGATACCCCTAAGGCCTACATACCACAATTCTCCTGCTACTAGTTAGTGTAATTTAGCCTTATCTATACACCATGCCATGCCCTATCTTAAAAACCACGCCTGGATTGAGCGGGGACAGACTAGGTTTTGAGGATAGTCTTGAGGAGTTTTGCTGTCCTTGCCTAAATGTCTACAGGTTTCAAATGGGAGAATATTCGTTAGGTGCATTGCTTAGAATCGCGATAGGATCAACCGACCCCATTTCAAAGTAAGGTATTGGGAAGTATGTCTAGGAGATAAATGGAATACTTTCCCTTGCCGTCATACTACAATACTTATGAAGACATTTCCTTACCTCTATACCGCCATATCGAATCTTCCTAAGTTGCTATGGTATGTCACTGTCATCGCAGAAGCCACCCTATTATTGGGGGATTTGCCCCTAGTGCGGACGTCACCCATTATATATAAATACATTTCCCTTCCTATAGTCTTTTGAAAGACTAAACACTTGTATATGTCTCCCCCCCCCTCTTTTGTCATAATGCTTCTTTATTATCTACAGCTGTACTTAGCTTGATCCTTAACGTGACAGTCAAATACATTGAACATCTCTTACAAAATTAAGATCACGATCAATAAATAAGAGCTACCTAAGCTGGACATGTAATGTGAAGTGGCTGAGACTATGTACGTATATACATTCTTTTTTGCAGGAGAAGACTTTTCAATAATTATGTTCTAAGATAAGATAGACTACTCTTCTGACTTGAAGATAGTACAAATGTCTCTCATATTTAAGCGGCCCAGGGACTTTGTCATTCCTCTTCCAGTAATGGACCAGACAAATGTGATACAGTAGGCATGCAGAACTCTAGAGTCTAGACGGTATAGATTATAGTGCTCCGTTACTGTAAAGATTTGCAGAGAACATCAGAGCTATGAGAACTATCTACACTTGAATTCCCTGTCTTTTTTGCAATAATGCAGCTATTGTGTTCTTATAGGTAACGCACTAGCCCTGGCTGATAGTTATAAAGTTATTATCATCTACTGCCTATTCATTCACCCACCTTTATAGAACATTTACAGCAAACATTCCACGTTAAATCTTGTGTAAGGAGTAATGGACCTTACCTAGGTGTATGCAACCGTTCATTCACTCACTACTTACCTAAGTACTTATAGTTCACGAGCCAGCCAGACAATTATAAGCTTAACAATACTCTAAACCGAGATGTTGGGTTATAGCATATCTCTCTATAAAGATACCTCACCCGTCGGCTAAATCTCGGTAGATTGCGGGGCCTTGACATCACTGATAAAGATTTCCTCAATTTCCAATCGATGCCCCACCACTTACTTCACCAAGACGGTCAATTTCTCAAGCATCCAACCCAGCTACCATATCAACAACATACCGAAGAGGAAGAGGTATCTAATCACTTACAACACAAAATTGATAAAAAATAAAACAAAAATAACCCCATAAAGCAAGATGGCAACGACAGTGGACAAGGTAAGAAAGCCCTGACGATGGATGCGACTGGGAATAATAAGCTAACTGGTTCACAGATTAAGGAGATCGAGGCCGAAGTGAGTTGCCCCTCCAGCCTTGGGCCTTGGATATGTCTGGTGCTCTTGTTTTGGGGGCGATAGCCTCGGGTCAACATATGCCCGGTACTAAACTCTAGAATTATAGATGGCCCGAACTCAAAAGAACAAGGCTACCTCCTTCCACCTGGGCCAATTGAAGGCAAAGTTGGCCAAGCTCAAGCGAGAGCTCCTGACCCCCTCGGGAGGAGGAGGTGGTGGCGGTGGTGCTGGTTTCGATGTCGCCAGAACAGGGGTTGCCAGTGTTGGCTTTATCGGTTTCCCGTCCGTGGGGAAGAGTACCCTGATGAGCAGACTGACTGGTCAACACTCTGAAGCCGCTGCGTACGAGTTCACGACCTTGACGTCTGTGCCCGGTCAGGTTATGTACAATGGTATGCCTGTCACCAACCCCTAAAGGCCTACCCACATCCTCGGGCCGTCAACCCTGTATCTCGATGACCCTGTATCACAGCTGTTGTTTCTTCATTCTGATATTATTGGTACAGGAGCGCCCCTGCAGATGATTGATCTCCCTGGTATCATAGAGGGAGCTAAGGACGGAAGAGGTCGTGGTCGACAAGTTATTGCTGTTGCTAAGACCTGCCACTTGATCTTCATTGTGTTGGATGTAAACAAGCCCCTAACTGACAAGAGGGTTATCGAGACGGAGCTGGAGGGATTTGGAATTCGGATCAATAAGGAGCCGCCTAATATTACCTTCAAGAAGAAGGACAAGGGTGGTCTCAACATCACGAGCACTGTGCCGCTAACTCACATCGACCACGACGAGATCAAGGCCGTGATGAACGAATACCGCATTAACTCGGCAGATATTGCTATTCGCTGCGATGCTACTATCGATGATCTTATCGACGTACTAGAAGCTAAGAGTCGCAGCTACATACCCGTCATATATGTCCTCAACAAGATCGACGCCATCAGCATAGAGGAGCTAGATCTGCTGTATCGAATTCCGAACGCAGTACCTATCAGCTCCGAGCACGGGTGGAACATCGATGAGCTGATGGAGGCAATGTGCGTCCCGGCCTTGATACTTAAAGATATAACTATGTCACTCATGGCTAATCTCCTTTCTTTACAGGTGGGAAAAACTTAAGTTGGTTCGGGTATATACGAAGCCCAAGGGTAAAATGCCGGATTATTCTTCGCCTGTCGTACTCCGTTCCACTCGGTGCACTGTTGAGGATTTTGTAAGTGTGCCTATCGGGAAACAGTTGGCTTCAAGCTAGGATTGTCGTGCTGACCGAAGGCCTTCTAAGTGCAACGCAATCCACCGAAGTATCCTCGAGCAATTCAAGAACGCGATAGTATACGGGAAGTCTGTGAAGCACCAACCGCAGCGGGTGGGACTGGCCCATGAATTGGCCGACGAAGACATTGGTAACAACCAACGCCTGCACCTATTGTTACGATTAGATCATACCTCGTGTGCTAATTTTATACGCCGTAGTTACTATTGTCAAGCGATGATCGTCGACTACACCTGAGAACGGTGCCTCATGCACCTCGACGCCGAAGATTCTAAAAGGTGCCCTTTCCAGCTAACTCTAGGTATCTAGGGAATTTACACATACACAGACACACACACATATTCACTCCCGTGATGCGACTTGACGCCGAGCTTTTGGATCCCTCTCGGTAATAGATATCACACGTACGTAGTACAGAGGCCAACTTCACATAGAGAATAATCTTCATCTGTGCAAGGCTGGTGGGCGGCTGCATAACAGGGT